AAAAATAGACTGTTCCTTTTTCATCAGTACTGAAACAGTGAAATTCAAAAACACACACACATATATATATTTCATTCTAACTGGTGTTTAACAGTCATGTGAATACTTAATATTGTCTTCTGTAAGTTGGATGATTTAGTTGTGAAGCTTTTATTGTGTCCCTCTAGATAACACCATTTTTCTTAATTCCTTTATGTTCCAAGTGCTGGAATATAGGCCTTCAAGCTAGAGGCTTGAAGTTTCGGTAGCAGTGGTGTTTATTTTTACAGGATGGGGTTGCTAGTCCCACGCCCAACCTTCCCTTTCTTTCCCAGCCTTGTTACTGGCTTAATGAGGTAAAGGAGTGTGTCTGTGGCCGGGGATCGAAACCCGGACCACCTGCGTGGTCGGCGAACACTCTACTGCTGTGCTACCGACGCCTACCTTCAGTGATCACCTTAAAGTGAAGTTCCCTGAATGTTCAAAGTGAACATGTGTGATCTATAAGGATAATAGAAGCTTTGCAATTAATCTAGTCAGTTCAGAGAACACTTCAACAATAAGAAACATCCACCTGAGATAGAAGTCCTCCTGTTGAATTATCGAACATTGTCAGAATATGTTCTGTTTATTACGAATTATTGTGCTAAATAACTTGATTTCTGTGGTCGATCTGTACTTGATTAGTAATAAACTGTTATTAGCTGCATGCATATGGGCGCATTTGGTGGTAGCAAATGAAATTACATTAGTCAAGTGTTGGTTTGCAAGCACAATTGTTTCGTCCTAGTTTGAGACTCTTCAGCACTACGCACCCAGTATTGTTTGAACACAGGACTTTCTGATTAGAAGGAGAGCGTGTAGACCATTAGGCTACTGGGACCCGATCCAATAGTCCATGAATTCCAACTTCTGTCAATTCACGATATGGTGCCATATCGCCAATGACATTCGCTAGTGGTCGCGACATATCGTGAATTGGCAGAGGTTAGAATTCATGGACCACTGCGTCGGGTCCCAGTGGCTTAATGGTCCACAAGCTCGCCTTCCAACCAGAAGGTCCTGGGTTCGAACCATGGCAGTGGATGCGTACTGATGAGGAGTTCCAAAGTAGAACGAAACAGTTGTCCAGTATTCTCTGCTGGTTTTCCTTTAGTCCTGTAACCGATATCCGTTTATGAAGAAATCCTGAAAATCATACTACTCAGAATATTTGGGCCCTGAGTTAATCTTTGGAATTCAAGTGGTTTGACTGTCAGACTATACCCGCGTGTTTTACAACACTGACAGTTAGGCAGTTGCCTATTTTCTAAACTACGACTGAACAGATAAAATCTATAAAGTTAATTGAAATCAATATCAACGTCGCCAGACAGGAAAAATTATCCTACACAAACTTAATCGCCCATATGAATTAGAATTAAAAAAGAATAACTTTTTTTACTGCAGAATAAGATGGATGATAGAATCATTTATACAGTCAACATTCTATCAGGTACTTAAAGCCTAGAGAAATTATTATTATTGTTATTATTATGTACAATTATGTGGAGAACAATATTAACATACTTGTAAATGTTACATAATCGTTGGTTAATGACAGGAGACTTCAAATTTAATGGAAAGTGCTCAGAAATTACACTTATAATAGCTTATACTCAGAAAGCTCAGAAAGTTTAAACTGAAAAAAATAGTAAACCCCTGGATACAATGGTAAAAGAGTTAAATAACAATGAAAAAAGGTGAGTAGGATGATGCGAAAATAATAAGTTGAAGAGTAGTGTGGTGAGTACAACTCATAATAATAGAACAAAAGGAGAATTTGATGTGTTTGTGTTCTCTGAGCTGGATGGTTAATTCGCGAAGCTTTCATTGCCCTACAAGGCGACATCTTCAGCGCATACTTCAATCTGAAGTGAGCTTTTAGATTTCGCCACGAGTTTATTAATCATCTCTTCTAGAGACCTTGGACGTGATTGGTTGTTTTTGTGTGTTTTCACACCTTCTAGGTTACTTGTATTGTCACTCATTGTTTCTTTGACTTGAACTTTGACCCCTTGTGTGTGTGTGAGGTTTCTTTCGTATCGGTTGATAAATTTTGTCTATCTCGATGCGTGTCTATTGATTGATGGTTCACTGGAATACCAGACAGGCTTCTAAAATTTCCCTGGCTAGCATTCTTGATGTTGTTTCCTCTGTCTAATATTTGAACGTTGGTTGTCCCAGTCGAATTGATGTCCGTGGTTGTCTGTATGCAGTGAGGCGAAATGAGTGAGGGAGTGGATGTCATGTCTTTTGACGGCTAGCTTATGTTCGTGGATACGAAGATGAAGAGCAGGGACGTCCACTTTGGCCAGTGTAGTATTTTTCGCAGTTGATGCAGTTTATTTTGTAGATGCAGATGTTGGTTTTATCTTCTTTCGTTGTTGAGTCTTTTAGTTGATACAGGGCTGGCTGAGTGAAGTGATTTTGTTGGTTTGAAGAGTCTTACAGTGATATCTGAGATATCTTTTGTATATGGTAGAGCGATTTTGTTTGTGTTTTCCTTGGGGGCTTTTGGTTTGATAGGTTTGCTTGCGGGTATATGTCTTTCGATGAAATTCCGTGGATATCCATTCTTTTGGAAGACGCCCATGAGATAGCTTTCTTCAATTTTTCTTAATGTAGGAGTGCTGCAATGAGTCCTGACTGACTCTCTTCAATAGTGTTTGTATGCAATTCCTCTTGTGTGTTATTGGACTGTTGTTGTTGTAATACAGAATTTGGTCTGTGTGAGTTGATTTTCTATAGACTTGAGTTTCTAATTCTCCTGTGGCCGTTCGCTTGACTAAGACGTCCAAAAATGGGATTTCATCAAAAGATATATACCCCCAAGCAAACCTATCAAACCAAAAGCCCCCAAGGAAAGCACAAAGAAAATCGCCTTTCCATATATAAAGGACATCTCAGAAATCACTACAAGACTCTCCAAACCTTTAGGAATTGACGTCGTACACAAACCAACAAAATCACTTCACTCAGCCAGCCCTGTATCAACTAAAAGACTCAACAACGAAAGAAGATAAAACCAACATCTGCATCTACAAAATAAACTGCATCAACTGCGAAAAATACTACACTGGCCAAAGTGGACGTCCCTGCTCTTCATCTTCGTATCTACGAACATAAGCTAGCCGTCAAAAGACATGACATCCACTCCCTCACTCATTTCGCCTCACTGCATACAGACAACCACGGACATCAATTCGACTGGGACAACCAACGTTCAAATATTAGACAGAGGAAACAACATCAAGAATGCTAGCCAGGGAAATTTTAGAAGCCTGTCTGGTATTCCAGTGAATCATCAATCAATAGACACGCATCGAGATAGACAAAATTTATCAACCGATACGAAAGAAACCTCACACACACACAAGGGGTCAAAGTTCAAGTCAAAGAAACAATGAGTGACAATACAAGTAACCTAGAAGGTGTGAAAACACACAAAAACAACCAATCACGTCCAAGGTCTCCAGAAGAGATGATTAATAAACTCGTGGAGAAATCTAAAAGCCTACTTCAAATTGAAGTATGCGCTGAAGATGTCGCCTAGTAGGGCGATGAAAGCTTCGCAAATTAACCATCCAGCTCAGGGAACACAACCACATCGAAATCACCCACCTGAGCTACAAATCTTCTCTATCATATACAAAAAAGGAAGTAAAGCTCTTGTTGCCTTGGGATATAGGCTTTTTGTTACTTGTTCAGAACATCAGATGTGTGTCCTTCTTATTGTTCTGGAAATGTAACTGCTTCCTCAGATACGTGCAAGTTGATACGAGTTCACCCACAGATTTATATCAGTTAGAGGACCATTGGAAACAAAACTTTCGAAAATTAATCTGATGCTGGCTAGTCACTGGAGACAGGACAGAGTTTCCCGCAGTTCTAGTCAGAAGTCGTGACCAGTGACGTTCATCTAGTCAATTGTATGAGGATGAATTTCCCACCGATGACGTTGGTTGGTGCCAGTCGCGCTAGAATCACGAATTGGTAGAAGTTAGAATTCATGGACTGGCCATTGAATCGGTTCCCAGTGGCTGAATGGTATACGAGCTAGCTTGCCTTGTAACCGGAAGGTCCTGTGTTCGAACCCTGGTGGTGGGTGCGTACTTCCAAAGATTCTCAACACCCAGATGAAACAGTTTTCCAGTACTCCAGTGTTGGTTTTCAGTGATCCTCTAACTGATATCAATCCGTGACCAACTTTTCAAAACAAATTTTTAGACTGTCTACTGACAGAAATGAATTCTAATCACATTTTAACTTCATAATACAGTTAATTATAAATTCTGCGATGAATATATTTTTGTGTTTTTCATTATTATTCCAGGTTAACTTAGATTCAAATACACGACTTCAAACTGAAAAAGATCTTGAAACAGCTAACAAGAATACATTTGATCAATGTCAACGAAGAATTCAATCTTTAATGGAAAAAGACTCTTATCGACGATTTCTTCGATCTGATCTATACTTAACAGCATTAGAAATAAGTAAAGAACGTGAAGATTATCAAATATCGAATAAATTCGGTCGACATTCTGTTATCGATTTTAGAGGTATAAGAAATGCATTTATCTCTGCAAAAAGTTTTCCCACTTGTACGCCTTCAACTAATACGCATATCTCACGTGCATCAAGCAACGTCGGCAGAAGTGTAACCAATAAGAACAGTGTTGATAATGCGGATGAGCACAGTAGTGCAAGCAAAAAGACTTCAGATACTGATACGAAGACAGATCAGTGTATCACTGTGAACTCATTGTCTAAAGTAAAGTCGGCTGATCACCTCAAAGAGAAGTGTATGCAGTCCGAAAGCGTAACTATGACATAATCTTTATCAGAAAACTCCCAAAACTAAACATACCAATATATATATATTATACATATGATATACAGTGACATATATATTAGGGTTTTACAAATCGGTTACGTTGCAGCTTACATATTTTTTATTGACGCCTAAACTGAATCAGTGTGTGTGTGATATCTTATTTGAAGAAACATGTGGAATGGGTAAATTTGTGAAATAAAAAAACAAAATTATTTTTGATATATAATAACACTGTCTCTTTTCTTTCTTTGTGAACAAGCTGAAAAATGGTTACAGGATTTCATCATGAACTGACAGTAGCTAGAGAACCAATGGAAAACCAGCTGGGAGTTTTGGACAACCAGCTGCTCTGTCCTAGTTTGGGACTCCTCATCGCTACGCACCCACCATCAGGGTTCTAACTTCTGCCAATTTATGACATAGCGCGATCGCTTGCCAATGTCTTCGGACAGTATTTGCCCTCACACCCGACCTGCTGCACCCTACTGGTTACGATTTCCCACTAGAACCCAGATAACTACCTACCTGAATAGGGCCAGTCGCCAGTACCTCCAGGCTTTCCAATGCTCCTCTAACCAATGTCAGCTCATGATGGAATCCTGTAGCCAATCAATCAAGTTTCGACAAACCAATACTTGGACCTGAAAGATGGTTGAATCTGTTGAATGACTAGTTCTTAGTTAGTCAGTTATGAAATTTAACATTTCACAGTTCAGGGTAAAAATTCACCCGGAAAAAACGTTTCAGATACCAAATATATGATTAACTTAATGTCATGAATGTCGGGTATAGTAGCAACTCATAAATTATAAAAACTGACTTTATGCATTACCAGTTTGCAGAAGTAGCAAGCGACAAATCTTGTGCTTTAGAATGATAAATGGGAAGACATTTATGTATAGTAGATAGGATGAATCTGTGAAATAAGCAGCTACTCCCACCCACACCTAACGTCTGCTATAAATATTAAGCCAAATGATGTAATAGAGAAAATGACTTCGATTTCCGAGTGTTGCTTTATAAGGGATTCGGTTGGTTTCACATTTAATCCCGAGTTGACATCGAGTAGAGAACCGTCGGAAAATCTCGGAGTACTGGAATGCTCTTTCATCCTAGTCTGTAACTTTCTAGAAGTACGCACCTACTGTGGTGAGCTCACTGGCCATCCATGCTCCAAGACTTGATTAAACGGCCTATGTATTCCAACTTCTTTCAATTCACGACCGCCAACCAGTGTCGTGGGTGAGTAAAAGTCCGTTTGCCTGACATAGGGGACCCCGCAGATCACAATTTTCGATTAGAACTCCAGGTAACTTTCTATATAGGGCCAGTCGCTGGTGAGTACGGGATTAATTTCCAAGTGATGGTGTACAGGGATTCGATTGGTTACAAGTATGATTACTCCTTGACATCAGTTAGAATGTATGTATATTCGGTGGTTTTGACATCGGTAACTGGGAACTAACTTCACACAATCTAGATTTCCTCGTCATATCTCTGAGAGAATGGCATGTCACAAGTTCACACATGTAAGTTGTTCTATTGGCATTGTTAGCATTTTAAACGTCACTTATTCCGGAAATTTACTAAACATACGAAACTGGAAGAGTATAGACTTGATAATTTAAATGACATACAGAGAAACACTCCGTCACCAGTGATATACTGCCCAGATCAATTCACGATTTACACCTGTGGCGCCAATCGGCATCAATCATCAAAACGTTTGCTGATTATTGCATGCATTTATTTTCCTTTATGAATTTGAAAAAGGCAAGAAAATCAGTGGCTTTCGCAGAATAATATGGTACCATCATTGCTTATTTCTTTGGCTTCTCATCAGCTCAGCTGCTTTTAGGCTAAATAAATTATTATTCAGTTCATGTACAGAAACGTTTTAACATGCTTGCAAATTTTACATTATGTCATTTGACAGGAGGTTCTAGACTTAGTGAACAGTGCTCAGAAAATTACGCTTATATAGTAACCTTACCCTGGTAACTGGATGCCTTTATCCTGACTTTCATCTGATTAAGTAACTTTTGATTTTAACCTCATACTCCTTTTCATATAGTGCAGTTTTGCATGTGTTTTGTCTCTATGATTTGAGTTGAATTCATTGCATTGTTACCTAATCTATTAGTCATTCATCGTTTTTCTCATATGTTGTCTTTATTACGTAACTCCCTTATGGTTGCATGCACACATGTATCTTGTTTAAATTTGAACTCCCTGTGCAAAATCTATATAAGCGTAATTTTCTGAGCATAGTTCACTAACTGTGGAACTTCCTGTCAACTGATATCATGTAAAATTTGCTAGTATTAGGCGGCATGTTTGAATCACTGGGCTGCTGAAATCTTTTTCCTCCAAAATGCTTGTAGTCATTTGGATTTATATCACGAAAAATACCCATTTATTCATAAGTAAAAACACAGTTTTTTGTTCAGCGAAGAAATCTCTTTTCAACGACTTCATTTTCAAGCTGTACAGTCGTATTTATATTACAGAAAAAGAAGGCATTAAGTGGCACTAAATAATTGCTCAGTCAATATACATATAAGTGATAAGAATAACGATAATTAAAATGTTATAAGGGGTAGAGTTGAAGTGGATAAATTACAAAATTATTAAAGATTGTTTTATAAGTGAATTGAAATCAAAAATGTTTTAAAAATTTTAG